TTAGACAACAAGACCAACAGTTAGGTTTAGACAACAAAACCAACAGTTAGGTTTAGACAACAAGACCAACAGTTAGGTTTAGACAACAACACCAACAGTTAGGTTTAGACAACAAAACCAACAGTTAGGTTTAGACAACAAAACCAACAGTTAGGTTTAGACAACAACACCAACAGTTAGGTTTAGTCAACTAAACCAACAGTTAGGTTTAGACAACAAAACCAACAGTTAGGTTTAGACAACAAAACCAACAGTTAGGTTTAGACAACAAAACCAACAGTTAGGTTCAGGGTTAATAATTTGTGTGTCCACCACAAAAAAGACTCCTAATTAATATTCATTGGCTTCATTTTCCCTGTACACAATTCCAATAGATTCCATGACTCCTTCACAAAATAACATGATACCGGGCTGGCAGCTCACACCAAAACCATCAGATCAGTAATCGCTGCAGGTATGAGGAGACATATGTGGTTCTTTTTGGTGGGAACTGTCACTTTAGAGTCAGTATGAACACACAGGTCGAGTGTAACATTAAACTGATGAACAGTGTTCAGGTCTCTCTTCAAATGACACGTCAGTCCCCTCCGTCGGGCACGCGCTTCCTCGGGCAGAGCATAAAGTGAGCTGCGCGCGCACGGGGCTCAGCAGTGAAGCAACAAGAGGCGGTAGTGAAAGCAGCTCCGGTGAGTTCAGAGAGAACACGCGCACACCGCGGGGTTAACATGAGGTTCGCGCACCTGACCGCGCGGGAAGCGTCTCTTCTCCGGGAGCGCAAGAGGTGACGCGCCCTGAGGGACTTGGTTTGTGTTTGTTACCGGAGAGCATGGCGGAGCTGTGGATCTACAACGCCACGTCCTCGTGGAACCGGTCTGCCGCGGGACAGGACCGCTTCAGCAGCCTGGACTACATCGATGTGCCGGAGGACGGATCTCCGGCCCTGCGCATCCTCATCTCCATCGTGTACTCGGTGGTGTGCGCTGCCGGGCTGGTCGGGAACCTGCTGGTGTTCTTCCTCATGAAGGTGCGCCGCGGCCGGAAGAAACGCTCCAGCATCAACCTGTTCGTCCTCAACCTGGCCATCACGGACTTCCAGTTCGTGCTGACGCTGCCGTTCTGGGCGGTGGACACGGCCCTGGACTTCAGCTGGCCGTTTGGAAACGCCATGTGCAAGATCATCCTCTCCGTGACGGTGATGAACATGTACGCCAGCGTGTTCTTCCTCACCGCCATGAGCGTCACCCGGTACTGGTCAGTGGCCTCGGCGCTGAAGGACCGGACCCGGCGGCGGGTGTGCCCGGTGCGCTGGGTGATCGCCGGGCTCTGGGTCTCTGCCACGGCGGCCTCTTTGCCCACCGCGGTTTTCTCCACGGTGAAGAGCGTGGCCGGGGAGCGGCTGTGCCTGCTGGGCTTCCCGGATGGCCAGTCGTGGCTCGCGCTGTACCACCTCCAGAAGATCCTGGTAGCCTTCGTGTTCCCCATGCTGATCGTCAGCGTGTGCTACCTGCTGCTGCTGCGCTTCGTCCGCCTGCGCAGCATGAACAACAACCAGGTGAAGCGGAGGTCCCGCGTGACGCGCTCGGTCACCATCGTCGTCCTCTCCTTCTTCATCTGCTGGATGCCCAACCACGCCATCACCTTCTGGGGCGTGCTGGTGAAGTTCAACGTGGTCAACTGGGACCGGATGTACTACATGGTGCACACGTACGTGCACCCGGTGACCGTGTGCCTGGCGCACACCAACAGCTGCCTGAACCCGGTGCTGTACTGCCTCATGCGCCGCGAGTTCCGCAAGAAGATGAAGGATCTGTTCTGGAGGATGTCGTCGCCCGGCGGGACGAACAGCTGCCACCTGCGGCCGTTCTCCGGGACGGTGCGAGCGGAGCCGGACGACACGCAGATCGTCATCCCGCTGAACACCTTGGAGACGGAGAACTGCAGACTCTCCGTTCTGACGGACCAGTGCGACACGGACGCGCTGCAGAAGTGAAGCAGACTCTGAAAGAAAACGCAACACTGGTGTGTCTCTTTACGCACATTAAAGTTGCTCTTTGTGCCACAAGTGTTGCTGGAGCTTTGTACCTCCTTTAACCAAACACTACAGGATCCATCTAGGAATGTGCCAAATCCAACGCCAGTACAAAACCATTGAAGGCATCACAGCTGGAGCATTAAATGTGATTGTTGACTTTGCATTAAAGGGATTGTATAGATTTGCATCACAGTTTAAAGGTGTGAAACATAAAATGAGAGAAATAACACTCGTGCGTAAATTGCGCATCCGTGCGTAAAACCATCCTGCTGCGTTTCCCGCTTCTTCTCCGACTGGGCTCTGTCACCACAGTGATGCTGATGTTCTTCTGGTTTTTGGAGGCAGATTTTCTTTGTATACTATAAATGGAGCGCGCGCTGCTTCGCTCTCTAAGGTGCTCTCCGTGCGGACTTCACTGGTTCAGCTGCTGCCTCGAGCTTCATTCTGTGGATTATTAGTGACGTTTCTTCTGTGGCTGCTGTGTAAAATGTTGGAGCTTGAGTAAGTGAATGTATTAAAAAAAAATAGCCAATGCAACCTTAAAAAAACAATGTTTGGAGAATAAAATGTTGAACTGTGTTGACGTTGGTTCCAGGTTTGGTTTGAAGTGTTTCGATGTGTTGGCTGTGATGCGTTCAGGGGTTCATGTGTTGACAAGCCAGCAGCCTCAGCTGGAAACCAAACAGGCTGACTTTCATTCTTTAAAGATGTTTCATTGAGACATTTGAAAGGTTGGATTCTCATGCACGCGTTGTGCACGCGTCACTGCTGAGCTCCTCCACTCTGATTGGCTGTGGACAAACGTGTCCAGTTATGCACCTTTGCAGACTTGAGGTGCAACTGTCAACCAATCGGAGTCCAGAACTACAAATATTGATATTGAACCCTCTGCAAAAAAAAAGACGTTTCACTGAGTTTCAACAATCTGAAAGCATCATAAAGTAAATGTTTACTTTAAACTAGAAAGTGACAATTATGTGTATTGTCTTGATTCATCGTTTGGTACCAGATGTGATACAAATAGTGATTTGTGTTTGTTTTCTTTTCCTAAAACCTAAAATGAAGTTTTCAAAAAGAAATAAGAAAAGATTTTAAGAAGCTAAAAATTACTTTATTTAGTAATCAATTGAGTTTCAAAATAAATAATTTCAGCTTTATGTTATGATCCTATTTTGTTTATTAATACAAATGTTTTTATTTATTTCTTATTGAATCGCTTTGAGATTTGAAATCTATTTTCTGACGTCTCCTCATACGGTTCGATATTTGATCAAAAGTTAATCCTCATTTTTCGTGCTTTTTCCTACAAAATTCCAGTAACACGAGTCAAAATTACGCTTGTTACATGAAAAGTATTTTCAAAATAAACCTCCATTAGTTTTAAGAAAAGATGTCGTTTGAGTTCAAATACAAAATGATTTCACGGGATATCTACGAACTACGTTATGTTTCTTCGGAAAAGTTACGAATGCTGGATGAAAAGTTTCTGAAGGAGTTTGAGGCATAAAAGTATGTTAATGGGTTTATTTTGTTACCTCTATTCCTACATTTGTATTTATCTAAACAGCACAAAATAGTTTCCGTTCATTTCTGTGAAGTTATTAGAGGCTGGTCACGATGTTTGTAGGTATTTCTCATGTTCTGCAGATCTGATGAAGGAAGCGCAGATAAAACATCTGTGATGATGTTTCTTCTGAACGTCGGCTCGTTCTGTCACTTTAAGCAGAAACGTGTCGATCTGCCATCAGCCAATCAGGCGACAGAGCCAGAAACAGACCCGCCCTCACGCTCACAGCAGAAACACTGTTAACTGAACTACACTATAAATAATTATTAAATGTCTTCTTCTGGAGAAACTAAATGTCCTGATTTAACTTTCTGAACCATTTAAAAGACAATTTGTAAACTTGAAGCTTGATGTTAGAAATGCAAAATAAAAATGCTGCTTTCCTCCTGATGTGCTGAAATAAATGTAGACGACATAACGTGTGAGTTTATTTCTGATGAACGTCTGAAAAGAAGCTCAAATAACAACATTTACA